ATTTCTCCCCCCACCCTCTCCCTCCTTCTCCCCTCAGTTCCAGGCAGGTCCTGTTCTGCCTTTGTCACTAGTTTTGTTGAAGAAAAGAGACAAGCAGAATAAGGAAGACAAAGTGTTTTTGCTAGTTGAGTTAAGGATAGCTATCCATAAATATTTCTAGCATTGCTTTCGTGTACATGTGCTGTCCCCATGTTGATTTATCTCTAATGGATCTTTACCCTGGTTACTGATCCCTTTTTCATGATAACCTCTGTAGCTTTAAGGTTACTGCATTAGCTCCTTTGAAGTTACCTTTTAACTGTAACGTATAAAACTATAAACATGTGAAAGAACTATTTCAACAAAGAATAGACAGGGAAAGTTTAGAATCATCGGGAGGAGGAGAAGCTGCAAAATGACCCTTACTTTCACTCAGCATTTTGCCCACGTTAATATCTTCTAGACCTCAGAAAAAAGCCTTGAAACCGTAGCAGAGCAGAAGAAACAGAGAACAGAATTAGCACTGTGAGTAAAACTGAGATTTGGAGAAAAGGATAACAGAAAGAGGTAATACTTGTATAACAGTACTTCAGATCTACGCCTGCACCTGAACAGGGTGAGATTTTGTGCCCAGCAGAAAAAGGATTCTGAGGTTTTAAACACTCCATGGAGATTTCATAGACTCACTGCACAGGAAGATGTCAGCACTATGGCTCTGCCAGAGTGAGAATTCTTGGTTAAGCACCTTGGGCTTTTAATAGACTCACCCGAATAGGAACCACTTGCTAAGAGTAAGGGTTATGTTATAGGACAAAGGAATAATTACTTTTAAATGTTATCTGCTACTCATTTAACAAGTAACATTTTTAAATAAAAAAAAACAATGCATACATTCTGTACATTATTACCAAGATTGCATAGCATTCAAAACAATTACTAAAAATGTGATGAAGCAGGAACAAGGCCCAATAAGTAAAAGATAAATCAAAAAATAGCTACAGACTCACAGATGACTCAAATTAGGAGTTAATTCACAGGAATTCCAAAATAATTATGATGACTATGCTAAAGAAAATGAGAGATGAATAAAATATGTCTGAATTTTCAACATAAAATTATTTTGATAGCATATTTCAACAGTACATTACAACAGACGCTTAGCATACATTTAAAATTCATGTGGACATTATAGAATCAAAAATGCAGTAACTGCAGTCAAGAATCCATTCAGTAGGTTTAATGCCAACTGTAGTTGTGACACATGATTGTGAATCTGAAGATAGGTCAGCATAAAATGCCTTAAGTCAAATAAAGAAAAAGGTATATTTAAGAACAGACCAAATCACAAAAATTATGTGAAATAATTCATATAACCTAAGATATGTGTAATTGGTTCCACAGAGAGGACAGATTGAGGCTGAAACAGTACTTATTATTAATAATTAATTCCTTATAACTAGGAATTTCCCAACTTGGTGAAAGTCTTCTTTGACTCACAAAACTCAGCAAACCTAAACAGAGTAAATGCAAAACAACTACAAAAGAAAAATACCAAAAGAAAGGAAAGCATTTTTATGCATGTCATAAAACTAATGAAAACGAAAGAGAAAGAAAAAACCCTTAAATATGCTTCCCTTTTGTTTTCACAAAGGGTTATCTGCATTTTCATCAAGAGTCCCAACCCAGTTTGAGCCAGGAAGTACATGTGGCCCAGCTGCACATTTGGGAACAGCCTGTAAATGCCTCAGAATCACTGTGCATCTGCTCCATATGGAGATGCTCAGGTGGTCAGGCTGGGAGGCCATGATGTGCAAAACGAACTTGACATTAAACATAGAGAGAATGCAAGTGCTCCTCCAGCCACTCAGCTGCCGGCAAGGGAGGTGATTGACACTGCCTTTCACAAAGAATTGGATCACTATGATGCAATATGGTAAAGAATGGTGTGTCTGGGGCACCTCTTTTTATTATTATTGTTGTTGCGCTAGGGTACATTGTGACATTTACAAACTTTCTTACAATATATCATAGTTGAATTCATCTCTTCCATTATTCTCTTTTATCCTCCTCTCTCCCCATTCCTAGAATAGTTTCAAAAAGTCTCATTTTTCCATTTACATACATGTGTACTCAGTATTTTCACTGTATTCACCTCCTACACCCTCTCCCTGCATCCCCTCTCCCACTGGTACCAACCCCCCAAACAGGACTTGTTCTGCCCTCCTGTTCTCTGTTTTTGTAAAAACAAAAAATTGACATTTTTGTTTAAGATAGCTCAAGAGTATTTCATATTGTGACATTTTCCTGTATCTATATTTCATTCTCTCTATTTTTCTCCTTTTTTACCTTGGTTCCCTTCTTATTGTGATTTCAACAGGTTTAAAACTTCTATATTCATTCTTGTATATGAAGTACATCAACCCTATTCACCTTCTTAACTTCCTTCTTTTGCCATCCTTCTCTCATTAGTGACCTCCCTTTTTCCTGATCTCTTAATTGCTTGCTTTTGTATTAGGTTTATATTCCACATATATGATGATAAAACTTGGTGGAAAACTACAGTTCACCAATATTGTTAGGGCTACTAAAGACACATATCCTTGGGTCATCATTTCCCCAGACAAGAGAGCATGCTTATTGAAGGCAAAGATAATTATGAACTGGTAATGCAGAAATTATACTTATCAGCTACAAACTCAGGACCAGTTGTAGAAACAAGAACTTGAGTAATTATGAGTATTTCTTCATGTGTGTGTGTGTGCATGTAATAACCAATTATTTTTCTTTATTTTAATATTCACAATCATCTTCCTACTGTCTAACGTTTTTATTTTTTAGCCTTATAACTCAGTATAAAAGTGACAAGATATCAAAGGAGAAATGACTCAATTATATGAAAAATGTACTACACCCAAAGATGTATAAAGTGACATATGGGGCTTTTTACTTTGGAGAAAAGGTTAAATATATTTTAAATTTTATGCAGGATGGTTGCATCATTGCTAGGCAGAGGCATGATTTATCTGTAAGTTAGATATGGCTAAATGAGATTTAACACAATGCAAATTGAGCAAATGGGGAGATAATAATGGATTGTACTGCATTAAACAATGAACCATCCAGTTTCCTTCTTGGTTTGATACCATGTTAAAATTGGACAAAGAGGAACTTCTGTGAGGTATGGAAGGCAAAAGTGAAAAAGTAGTCATCGCTGTCCAAAGGTTATCATAGTGAGATATGACAAACAAGTCCTGATATGTCCACGTCCACGTGTTCCTGCCTACACTCCATGTCTAGCTCTTCTTGTTGCTCACCCTGTTGAGCAGCCAGCGTCATGAGCCTGGCGATGGACACATGTGATGGTAGCTACACCCAGGCAACTTCCTGAGACTCTCCTTTAACCTGCCCTACAAATCCCATTCAGCAACTGGAAATGCCTGAATTCTCAGGCTCACTGGTTGGGGACTCCTTCTCTGACCCTCCAGCCACTCTTGGACTTTCACATCTCCAGCTCTTTTCACAATGGTATCAAGCCAATTTCCTCTAATGAAGCTTCTACCCCAAAGAACTCATGGAGATTCTGCTTAATTGAATATTCCCTGACCGATGTACTATGCAAATATAAATGAACAGCACAGGGAATTTTCCTGTCTTTAGAAAATGTGAAGGGCTGGCTGACATCCATAATCTCAGCTACTCAGGAGACAGAGATCAGGAATAACATGGTTCCAGGCCAGTCCAGGCAAAAAATTAGTGAAACTCCCATCTCAACAAAAAACTGGGCATAGTGGCAGAAACTCATCTGTAAATCTCAGCTACACCAGAGGTGTAAGTAGGAAGCTAGTGATCCAAACTAGTATACAGAAATGAGGGTTCCATAGTCATGTTTGAAACCCTATGCCAAGTACAGTACCAGATACCTCATGGAAACTAAGTAAGCAGTAATTGCACATATAAACGCATAAATAAGTCAGTAAAACTTTCTTCACTAGGAAGTCTGAATTGTATGGGCTGAAAATATATTATATGGAACATGGACAACTTAGAAAGGGACTTCAGAAATGGGGTTAGCATGTGGACAATATATTTTAATGGGGCACTGTGATCTCATTATCATAGGAAAACATGCACCAGATATTATGTTATTATGTGTTTTTACTAAAACTAATTCCAGGCAAACATCTTGAAATTTACCCTTGGCCCTTGGCTGCAGAGATTTGTGATGCTACTGACTTGGCATTAAAAGCACACCTGATTTTTCCTGTTTCTTCCGTTACTAAATTATGGAGAAATACACTGCATGTAGGCCAAGAATGAAGACAAACCTCATTCTTGACTACCATTAATGTTGTCTATAGATTCTATAAAGAATACACTAACTAATCTCATCCAAGTTCTAAGACAGATAATCTAGTTCAGAGAGTGATTAATGTAGAAGATAAATTGTTTGTGTTGACTTGTGTTTTTAAGAAGTCATCCATAATTTAAATCTAATTTAATTATCTTTTGCCATTTATTTAAGAAATAAAATACTGACATCACTGAAGACCATGTTAAAATTCAATTAAAGACAAAACCACCAAACATTCTCTGTGTTCTAAATTTATAATTATTTTATTAAATAAAGCATCATATCCTTTTGTGACACCAATAAGCACCAATTCCTTAAACTATTTTAAATAAAGTATCCACCTAGTTTGTTGGTTGACAAAGTACCAATCATTTGGCCTGATATAATTCTGTTACCATTTTCTACTATTGCAACACACACACAATTAAAGTGTGTGATCCCTAAAGACATTTCCTTCTCTTCCAATCTCTTATTTTAACTTTTTTATGGAGAAGACATTGCAAGTTCATCTTCAGGAACTACATAAATACATTTTCAGGTATTTTCTACATTTGGACTAAAGGGGGCAGTGCTTCCTTTCATAAAGACAAACAACTTAGTTATAAACAAAGCTGTTCCTACATAACATAGAAAGGTCTGTGGAAGGGAGTCAAAGTCAGACCTGCAATTGCCTGGGCAAAAGACAAGACATCCTCATCTTCAAAGGAGGAATGGCCAAACTCCTGGGGGCCTCATTGTTGGTTCTGTGGCTTCAGCCAAGCAGTGAGTTGTGGATTGGGTGTTTGAATATGGTAGGAAAACTCCAATACTACCAGGCTAGGAAATGCAACTGTGGAGTTTTGTTTTGTTTTGTTTTCTGTCTCCTGATGGTTTTCTGTAGGGAGGTTAAGAATAATTTTTTTAAATGTTACTCTCTTTCCAAACAGGAGTAAATAGTCAACAGAAGAATGGTGACCAGCAGGTTAAGCAAAATTCTCCATCCCTGACTGTCAAAGAAGGAGACACTTCTATTCTGAACTGTGACTATAATAACAATATGTTAGACTATTTTGCATGGTACAAAAAGTACCGTGATAATGGTCCCACATTCCTGATATCTGTACGTTCAATTGTGGAGAAAAATGAAGATGGGAAATTCACGATCTTCCTCAACAAAAGTGCCAAACACTTCTCTCTGCAAATTGCATCCTCCCAGTCTGAAGACTCGGCCACTTACCTCTGTGCAGCAAGTACACAGTGTTCCACAGGCACCTGCAGCTTGTACCCAAACGTGCAGCTGGGGTCCCAGAAAGCCCCTGATCTCAGTTTCTGACTAGGAAACATGCAAGTTTGCTTCCATTGCCCATGGTAGTATGAGAGAGCAGGCATTAAAAGATGAGGCAAGGTGAGATTGAAAGAAGACTGATACATGACAAGCTTAATAAATAAGAAAGTTCCCTGAGCGTCAGAGCATCAAACAGTCTAACCATACTCCTCTTCTGCTTTCAGAGAGAGATTAATGATTTAGCCCAAACATAAATCTCTAATGATCCTTTGATCCTGAAATGAGGATTCCCTATCTCCCCTGGGTCCTGGGAGAAAGGAATTTGTGTTTGGAATGGGGAAGCTAAGCTCCTGCAAGTTCTTCTAGTGAATGCTTGTGCACCTTTGGAAGTGTGAAATAAATAAAAAGACCTTGTTATTGGCAGTCATCATGAATCTCAGTTGAGGTGCATAGATGGGGCTGAGCACTGCAGATACAGCTCAAAGTTAAGAGTAAAGAACCAGGTCATCCTAAGAACTTAGAAGATGTGGGAATTTCCTAAAATTTATTAAATATGGAGTCTCCACCAGGTTGTTAGTTAATAAAAAATCACAGGCAGATGTATTCAAACTATGTGGGTAGCCATGAGGGTTTATTTTTGAATACTTTACTCTGTTCTATTGGTCTATGTGTCTGCTTTGTGCCAGTACCCTGCTGGTTTTGTTACTGTGGCTCTGGAGTGTAATTTGAAATGAGGTATTGTGAAACCTTGATTGCTCTTTGGCTCAGGATTGCTTTGACAATTTGGGGTCTTTTGTATGAATTTTGTATGAATTTTGTATGAATTTTAGGGTTGTTTTTTCTACTGTGAAAATTTTCATTGGATTTTTTATGAAGCTTGTATTGCAAAGGTAGATCAATTTTGTTAATATGGCCATTTTCATTGTATTAATTCTGCTGATCTATAAACATAGGAATTCTTTATTGCCTACTGCCTTCCTCAATTTCATTTTTGAGTGTTTTATAATTTTAATTGTAGAAGATTTTTACCACCTTGGTTAGGTGTATTCTGATGTATTTTATTTTTTAGGCAATTGTGAATGAGATAATTTTCTTGATTACTTTCTCAATGTATTAATTATTGGTATATAAAAAGCTACTGGTTTTTATGATGATTTTATATCCTGCTGCTACTTTGCTTAATTTATCAGGTCTAAAAGTCTTTAAGGTTTTCTAGGTATCAGATCATGTCATCTGCAAATAGGGATAATTTCACTTTTTCCTTCTCTATTTGTACTCTTTTTATTTCTTACTATTTTACTATTTCTCTGGCTAAAATCTCAAGTATTCTATTGAATAAGAGTGGTGAAAGTGTGCATGCTTATCTCCTTCCTGATTTTGGATGAAATGCTTTCAGTTTTTCCCTCCTTAGCATAATGTTGGCTGTGAGTTTGTTGTGTATATCCCATTATGATAGTAAGATATGATTCTTCTACACCTTGTTTCTTCAGGGCTTTTAACATGAAGAGATGTTGAATTTTGCTAAATGCTTTTTCTGTGTCTATTTAAATGATTATGTGACTTTTGTCCCTGATTCTGTTTATGTTGCTGTATTATGTTTATTGATTTGCATATGTTGAACCATCCATGCACCCCTAGAATGAAACCAACATATCTTTTTCATGTGTTGGTGAATTCATTTTGCATGTAGCTTTTGAAGGTTTTTAAGTCCATATTCCTCAAGAAAATTGTTCTATAGTTTTATTTTTAATCATGCCTTTATCTGGTTTGGTGGCAAAGTAATGCTGATATCAGAAAGTAAATTTGGAAGCATTCCTTCCCTTTTCATTTTATGGAATGGTTTGAAGAGTAATGGTTTTCTTTAAGGGTCTGGTATAATTAGCATGAATCTGTTAGGTACTGGGCTTTTCTTTGTTGGGAGACATTTTATCACTGCATCAATATTGTTTGTTATTATTGATCTCTTTAGGTTTTATTTTATATATCCACTTGGACCCATTTTGGTAGGTTTTATATATATGTCTAGAAATGTATCTATTTATTTTATATTTCCCAATTTATTGGAGCATAGCTAGTCAAAATAACCACAAATAACCCCTCTGAATTCTAGTGATATCTGTTGTAGTACCTCCTTCTTCATTTCTAATTCTATGAGTTTGGGACTTGGCTAAGAGTTTGTAAATCTTGACAATCTTTTTAAAGAACCTACTATTTACTTTATTGATTCTTCCTTTTGTTCTATTGGCTTATATTTTTTTAATTTCAACTCTGATCTTTCATTATTTCTTTCTTTCCACTGGTATGGGTTTTAACTTGTTCTTGTTTTTTTTAAGAACTTGAAATGCATCATTAGGTTATATAAGATCTGATCTCTTAATGGAGACACTCAGCTAAAAACTTCCTCCTTAGAACCATCTTGCTAATCAGTGGTGTTTCAATTTTCATTGGTTTCTCAAAAGTTTTTTAATACCCCTCCAATTTTGTCAGTAACCCACTGGTCATTCAAAATATTTTTCAATCCCCATTTGTTTGTATAGTTTCTTCAATTTTTCTTGCTGTTTATTTCTAATTTCATTCTATGGTGACCATCTCCTAAGATGCAAATTTTTTAATTTTATGTATTTGTTATGACTTGCTTTATGGCCCAAAATATGATCTATTTTGGAGAAAGTTCCAAGATATGCAGAAAACAATGAATACTTTGCAGTTCTTGGGTGGAACACTCTGTAGATGTCTGTTAAGTCCATTTGATCTACAGTGTTATTTCACTTTGAAGTTTCTTCATTTGACTGATCTATGTCTTGGTGGGAGTAGGGTACTGAAGTTATCCACTATTACTGCTTTGGGGCCTATCTATTCTTATATGCATACTAGGGCTTGTTTTATGAAATTGGGTGCACCAATATTTGGTGCATATATATTTATATTCATTAGGTATACTTGATGTAATTTTTCCTTTACCTATATGAAGTGAACTTCTTTGTCTCTTCTGACTAATTTTGGCTTAAAGTCCATCTTGTCATATATGAGTATGGCTACTTCTGCTTGCTTCTACATTACATTTACTTGGAATATCATTTTCCATTCTTTCACTTTGTGCATCTCATATTACATCCTTTCACATTCAGTCTATGTATGTCTTTCCCAATGAAGTACATTTCATTTTTTTTATTGTTTTATTATTCATATGTGCATACAAGGCTTGGGTCATTTCTCCCCCAGCCAACACCCCCTCCCTTACCACCCACTTCCTCTCCCCCCCACCCCCTCAATACCCAGCAGAAACTATTTTGCCCTTGTCTCTAATTTTGTTGTAGAGAAGAGTATAAGCATAATAGGAAGGAACAAGGTTTTGCTGGTTGAGATAAGGATAGCCAACAGGGAGTTGAAACTCACATTAATTTCCTGTGGCATGTTCTGTTACCCTTCTAGTGTTAATTTTTTGATCTAACCTTTTCTCTGTAGTTCCTGTCCCCTTTTCCTATTGGCCTCAGTTGCTTTTTTAAGGTATCTGGCTTTAGTTTCTCTGCATTAAGGGCAACAAATGCTAGCTAATTTTTAGGTGTCTTACCTATCCTCACCCCTCCTTGTGTGCTTCTCGCTTTATCATGTGCTCAAGTCCATCCCCTTGCTGTGTTTGCCCTTGATCTAATGTCCACATATGAGGGAGAACATACGATTTTTGGTCTTTTGGGCCAGGCTAACCTCACTCAGAATGATGTTCTCCAATTTCCATCGTCCATTTACCAGCGAATGATAACATTTTTTTACTTCTTCATGCTGCATAAAATTCCATTGTGGTATAGATACACATTTTCTTAATCCATTCGTCAGTGGTGGGGGCATTTGGCGTTTTTCCATAACTTGGCTATTGTGAATAGTGCCACAATAACATGGGTGTGCAGGTGCCTCTGGAGTAACCTGTGTCACAGTCTTTTGTGTATACCCCAAAGTGGTATTGCTGGATCAAAATGGTAGATCAATGTCTAGCTTTTTAAGTAGCCTCCAAATTTTTTCAGAAGTGGTTGTACTAGTTTATCATTCCCACCAACAGTGTAAGAGGGTTCCTTTTTCCCCACATCCTCGCCAACACCTGTTGTGGTTGGTGTTGGCTATGATGGCTATTCTAACAGGGTGAGGTGAAATCTTAGCGTGGTTTAATTTGCATTTTCCCTTCATTGCTATGGGGGAATGTAAGCATTTTTTCAATGTGTTTTTTTGTCCCATTTGAAATTTTTCTCTTTGAGAAAAGTTCTGTTTAAGTTTCACTTCCCATTTCTTTATTGGTTCAATTAGTTTTGGGAGAATTTAGTTTTTAAAGTTCCTACATATTCTGGTTATCGAAGTCCTTTTGTCTGATGTGTAGCTGGCATAAATTATTTTCTCCCACTCTGTCGGTGTTTCTCTTCAGTTTTAGAAGACCATTTCTTTTGATGAACAGAAGCTTTTAGTTTTAATGAGTCCCATTTATCTATGCTATCTCTTAGTTGCTGTGCTGCTGGGTTTCGTTGAGAAAGTTCTTGCCTATACCTACTTAACTCCAGAGTATTTCCTACTCTTTCCTGTATCAACTTTAGAGTTTGGGTCTGATATTAAGATCCTTGATCCATTTTGAGTTAGTAATTGGTATAGGGTGATATACTGGATCAGTTTCAGTTTTTGCAGACTGCTAACCAGTTTTCCCAGCAGTTTTGTTAAAGGCTGCTATTTCTCCATCGTATATTTTTAGCCTCTTTGTCAAAGACAAGTTGGTTATAGTTGTGTGGCTTCATATCTGGGTCCTCTATTCTGTTCCACTGGTCTTCATGTCTGTTTTTGTGCCAGTACCATGCTGTTTTTATTGTTATTGCTTTTGTAATATAGTTTGAAGTCAGGTATTGTGATACCTCCAGCATTGTTCTTTTGACTGAGTATTGCCTTGGCTATTCGTGGCCTCTTGTGTTTCCATATAAATTTAACGGTAGATTTTTCAATCTCTTTAATGATGTCATTGGAATTTTGATGGGAATTGCATTAAACATGTAGATTACTTTTGGGAGTATAGACAT